GGGGGTGAGGGTGGGGTGGGGGTAGGGATTGGGACTTAAAAGGCGCCTGCGAGGCCAAGCCGACCTCACCATGGCGTGGGCCCGGGACAGCTGCTCCTCTCCCCTAGCTGGTCCAGTTTAGAGAGTGTCGGATGGGGGTTGGGCTGCTGTACCAATAATCTTAAAAAAAAAAACCAAAAAACCCTACCAACAAATAGAAGCCCAGGTCCTGAAGGATTCACTGCTGAATTCTACAAGAAATTTGGAGAAGTTCTAATGTCACTACTCCTCAAATTCTTTAGTGAAATTGAAAGGGAAGCAATACTTCCAAACTCATTCCTGGAAGCAAGTATTCCCCTGATACAAAAATGAAAGATCCAACCAAAAAAGAAAACTACAGGGCAATCTGATGAAAATAGATGAAAAAATCTCCAATAAGATTCTAGCAAACAGGATGTAGAAAATCATCAGGAAGATTATACCCCATGGCTGTGTCAGGTTCATCCCAGGGATGCAGGGATGGTTAGAGATATGCAAATCAATAAATGGAATACACTATATTAACAGAACCAAGGACAAAAATGACATAAACATCTTAGTAGACACCGAAAGAGCATTTGACAAAGTCCAACACCATTCATGATAAAACCCTACAGAAAACTAGAATAGTCTTTATCTCAATCTGATAGAAGACATCTATGACAAACCAACACCCAACATAATACTAGTCAAAAAATGAAAGCTTTCCCTCTAAAATCAGGAACAAGACAAGGATGTCTACTATCACCACTTTTCAAAATAATTCCATAACATGATACTCTACTTACTCTACCAAGACTTTTAGCTTTAATAACCAAATTCAGTCATGTAGCTGGATACAAAGTCAGTGCTAAAAAATCAATAGAATATCTGTACACAAATAATAAGCTCACTGAGAGAGAAATTAGGGAAACCACACCTTTCAGAGTAGCCTCAAAAAAGTGAAATGCTTAGAAATCAATCTAATGAAGTAAAAGACCTTTACATAGAAAACTGTAGTACTCTGAAAAAGAGACTAAAGTAAATAATTTCAATAAAATCTCTCTCTCAAACAAAATCAGAGATACAGAGAGGTTCCATTTAAATCTATATCAACGTGCTGAGAAGAACCAATTTCCCTGGAGAAGAGAACATAACTCTGCTTAAAAAGGTGGAGAAAATGTTTGAAATGTGAAGTTACTGAAATATGTTACCTCCCTCACCTTTTGAGATGTACCTGAAGACCATTGTGATTCTGCAGATTAAAGGAGGCTTTCTGCAATGTAGTGGTTAGAAGAGTGAAACTGCTCTTCCTTTTCCCATCTTTCTCTCCTAGCTTCCTCCTAGTGTTTCCTACTGGAGTCATCTCCTAAGTGGCTTGAATTTGCCCACTGGGAAACCTAAATTAAAACATCTATCTTTGAAAGGACATTTGCAGTAGAAGTAACAATAAATTTAGTGTTTCTTGAAAATATTTTAATATGTGACAAAGAGAAAAATGAATCTATGGTCTTCATTAAGGAAGTGTTATTCTAACTGGAACGTGCAGACTGAATACTGTAAAGAAATACTGAGTAATTGTAATTGAGTAAGTTTACAAACTAAGTTGTAGATTGGTCAAATTTTATACTTCATTCAAACAAATCAGATAATTTTACTTAAAAACAAGCAAATGAGCTAAATAGACATTTCTCAGAAGACACGGGATGGCCAATAAGCTTATGAAAGAATGCTAAACATCACCAATGGTCGGAGAGTTTCAAATCAAAACCACAATGAGATACATCTCACCCCAGTCAGAATTTTACTAATGGTTTTGTTTCAAGGAATCAAAACCATTATGTCAAAGAGACATCTTTATGTCCATGTTTAATGCAGCACTATTTGTTATAGCCAATGTAGGGGGTCAACCAGGATATTCATCAACAGATGAAAGGACCAAAAAATGTGGTACACATACATAATGGAATATTAATCGGCAATGATAAATATAGAATACTGTCATTTGTGGCAAAATGGATGGAACTAGAGAACAAATAAGCCTAACATAGAAAGAAAAATACCACATGTTCTCACTCACTGTAGTTCACATAGAAGTAAAGAGTAAAACATAGATCATGAGATGTTAGGAGGGTGGTGGGGAAGGGGACATAGAGCGAAGGTGCATAATAGATACCAAAGCACAGCTTAGGGAATGTACTTCTGTTAAAATAGTGGAACTCTATGTAACACAATAATTGACTCTACATCTCAAAATAACAAGAAGAGAAAGGTTTGAAGGTTCCCAACACATAGAAATGACAATATTCAAGGAGATAAAAGTGCTAATTATTTTTAGTTTGATCATTACACATTATATGGATGTATTAGATTATAACATTGTGCTCCATAGATAAGTATCTTTATTTTGTCAATTAAAATAAAATTAAAAATATTATTTGCATTAAACATATTTCTATGAAATAGATATATTATTCCTTGAGCTCTGTTTTAGGTATTGTGGATATAAGACTGAGAAAGGTAGACAAGGTTTGCATGCATAATTTAGGTAGACAGAATAGTTTCAATAAAGTGAACATAGACAAATATGTTGTATGAAGATTATAAACTATGGTAATGGAATAATTCATATGTTTTTTGTCAATTAAGTGCATATTTATTATGAACTAGAAAAAGACAGTTACGCTTCAACATTTGAAAAGCATTGGAGATCAAGATTTCCAATAGAAGTGTAAACCATGAAAACTATGTACTGGTTTGCAATAATAGTGATAAAGACATACATTGCCACAACCTGCCCAGCATAGGGTCCAAAGCTGGGGAAAGTGGTGGGAGATGAAGAAAAATGAGAAACATGAAGAACACCAAGATTATGCTTGAAAGCTGGAACCAAGTGGAGCCATAGCCTGTTGGGAGCTAATGGCTGCCTGGCATCCAGCATGCTCTTTATTTATAGCGTAAGACAAACAGGAAGAGAAGGCGGGGGTAACTAGTGCTACGTGGCCTAGGCTGAATGCAGCATGCTGAACATAGTGTGATTCATGTCTTGTGATCGGGCCATGCGCAGAAAGGGAACAAGGAAGAAAGATGCATAATGTAACTGTCGCTGGGGCTGTGCCATCCAGGGTCTACAATTGAACAGACGATGTGTATTTGACTAGCTAGTCTATGGAGGAGAAAGGGAGTAGGGAGGAGTCGAAGGACCATGTTCAGGCTCAACCCACAGCAATACATAGAGATTATCATGATTTCTTTTGTAGTTTAACACAATACGCTGCAATGGATTTTCTTTTTCTTTTTTTTTTTTTTAGTACCAGGGATTGAACTTGGGACCTTGTATTTGCGAGGCAGCCGGCAGCACCACTGAACTAAATCCCGGGCCCTGGAATGGATTTTCATGCATATAATTTATAAACCTTTAAAAGGTAATAAAGATCATCTCTAGCAGCTACCATGTATTCACTGAAAACAATCCAGTTAAATTCACATGACTTCTCATTTTATAATAATTTATAGAAAACAGAAATTCCATGGGTAAATGCATTTCAATTATTTTAACTACAATGATGAATCTGACAATATTTTTATTCAAAAACTTCATAGGTTAGTGGACTGGATGACAAAGTCATTGATATTCAATGCTTTAAGCATTTGCCTGCTATGTGTTGGTAAATAGTTGTTCAGTTTTCCAATGGAATTTGACTAGCCTATATTCTTACTTCTCTTTGTCAATATCCTACTAATAATTTTGATAGAATTTTAAAAGTGAGGATATGATGCTAAAATTATAAATGACAGAACCACAAATAAAGATGATGCCAGCTACCAGAAACATACGGGGCCAAAACCAATGGAATGAGATTAAGCAGAAACACATTACAAGTTCTGTTTAGGTTCAGAAAGTCAGCCACATGAGAATGAGCTGGGTTGGCCACAGTACAGATGGCAAAGTTATAGGATTTCCATTTGATGACAACCATAAAATAAGCCAATGGTATGATGTGGCTGCTGGGAAAATAGCCTGGATTAGTGAAATATTGAACTATGGAACTATGGAAGCAATGCAAAGACAACTTTACCAAATTCTCTTTTGGTGAGATGACTTACGGAATAAAGTGTCAAATTCTTTCATTATATTTTAAGACTTCACTAACTGGATGAAGGCACAGAGAATTATGAATATCATCTTTTCAGTCCAGGCTGAAAGTTTAGAATATTGTTTCCCTTTAGGAAAAAGACAAAGGAGATATTTACAGAGTGCCTTTGTCTTTGCTTAAGAAGCCAGAGAAAGTTAGTCTAGAATATTGGTTTGAAGTTGGAGAGTGAATTTTGTTTTTGTTTTTGTTTTTTGGTACCAAGGATCGAACTCATGACCTTGTGCTTGCGAGGCAGGTGCGGTGCCACTGAGCTGAATCCCTGGTCCGAGAGTGAATTTTTTACCATAAAACTAAGAACAAAAGTGTTAGTCAAAATGTGGCTAACATGGGAGAGGGGATTACTTTTCCTAGAATCACTTAATCCAAAAGATTTATCTCAGAAGGGAAACTTGGGTTAGATATTATATCAGTTATATATCCTTTATGATGAAGTACTCCAAAGTTAATAGGGTTAAAACAACAGTTTGATGTTTTTCATTTTTTTCTTTTTAGGAGTCAGGAACTCAAGGTTCTGCCTGGAAAATTACTTGAGGTGTATCAAGTGAATAGTTATATACTAAATGAGCCACAACCCTAGGAAAGCTTCAACGGGCTGAGATTCCAAGGTGGCTCATTCCCCTACCAGGTGGGTTTTGCTGGCAGTTGGCTGAGAGCTTAGGTGGGGCTGCCAGCCAGGGCATGTACCTATGGCCTCTCTATGTGTCCTCAACTTCCTCACAGTGTGGTTGCCTCAAGTAGTTGGGCTTATGTGACAGGTCAGGGAGATAGAAGTTTCTCAGTGGACAGGTAGAAGCTGTATTATTCCTTATAATGAGATTCTCATAGGCCTTATTAGTTTCTTTTTCTATATCACTGCAGTTGCAATTGAGTCAGAAGCCCATATAGATGCCTGGAGGGTAGGCATAGACCCCATGTTTGGTCAAAGGAAAGTCCAAAATTTCTAGACATTGAAAAAAATAAGAAATAACCTCTTAATTTATTTCCAACTTAAAATATCTGATATTACTCAAGTTATTGGCTGATAATAAGACTTTTAATGGAAACAGGGACGTTTAATATCTTCTTCTAAATCACCTGGGGATTATATCTGGGCTTTCATGAAATTTTTCATTAAATTAAACATATGTTTCATTAAATTAAACATGTTTCATTAAATTAAACATATGTTTCATTAAACATAAAGGATTTTTAGCTTGATTTACATGAGTACATACATGCTGGATATTATGAAAAATACACAACTCAAATTCTGAATTCTCTCAAGTAATTTATCAGAAATTATGAAAATGAATGAATAGATCTAAAGAAATTTGATAAATCAGGAGAGTTCAGCTCACTTAGACCAATAGGGAGGTTGTAATGAAACAGGCAAGCAATTGACAAGTGCAGGCAATTTGGGATTTCTACATTGTCTTGCTGCATAAAAATATACATTGAAAAATTTAAAAATTGAATTTATAAATTGCATTTTGTGACGGATAAACTTGGAGTGTTGTGCCTTTTTTTTTTTTTTTGTACCGGGGATTGAATTTAGGTCCTTGTGCTTGCGCAGCAGGCGGCGAAACCACTGAGCTAAGTCCCCGGCCAGAGTGTTGTGCCTTATGGAATATAGAGTTATGCTTATCCAGACAGAGACCTAACCCTTAATCTAGTCTCAGTTCCAATAACTACTGAAGACACTGTATTTATGCCCATTCCCACTATTCATTGTCTCGCCAGTTTCTAAAGGCATCAATCTCTGGATTATTGCTTTTTCTTGGCTACTTGAATTTGTTGCTCCATGTGTCCTATATTTGACCCTAGACATATTTGAACTCAATGTCTGCAACTATAAGTAGGTTTTAGAGCTTTAAAAATCTATTCATAATAACCCATTACCCAACCTGGATTTGTATTGTTGTCCCCAGAAAGTCCTGATGGGCCTACTCACCTTCATCGTGTTGCTCAGGTCTAGCTACTGTAAATTACCCTTCTGAAATTTTAGTGAAAGAGCTTTGCTTCTCATAATTTTTTTCTCAGTTGAAGAAGCACATCTATGTTTTCAGAGCATAATCTTTAAGAAATCAAATATATGGAGGAATAAATCCAACTTCAATCTTTTCTTTATGTTTCTCTCTTCTTTTACTGATTAAAAAATAGAAATGGTAATTGAAACCTTGACTTTTCCACCATTTATTTTATCCACTGATTGAAAGTTTTATTATCTCCTTTCACATTGATCAAAGATTTTGAGGAAATAGTTGCAGAATATTAGACAGAATTCTAGGATACTACTTTACTGCTGCAGGGCTAATTTAAGAGCCATTCATATATACAAAAGGGAACCCAGACAGTACTTTCAAAGACTGCTTTTAAAAATGTACCCTGCTATCTGTCTAGTAAGCAGTTTTCTTGCTTTCATATTTTGGCCTTAATTTTAATTCAAGTCATACTTTCATTCACTACACTACAATAGGAGACATCCATGAAACTGATTAGCTTGACATTAAATCACAACTTTCTGTTGGTACATAAGTACTACTGTAATGTCATAAGAGTGAAAAGGGACACTATAGCAGCCCCATAGATGAGAATTCAAACATGATAATTTAGACACACAAAGGACTGGTTTTCGGGTTTTGTAGTGAAATCTTTCTGTCTCATTCTGTAGCCTTTTTGTGCCTTTAAACAACAAACTCATTTGCAACAGACTACAAAACAATCCCTGCAAGAGATAGAAGTCTATTCCTTCACCAACACTCTTCTTTGTGGAAGGTTTCTACCCTGGGTTGATTTTAAACTTTCTCAGGCTTTTTGTGTATGGCCCAGTTTGCAATAACCCAATTGTGTCAGATGGATCACCGTATCCAGATATAAGCTCAGAGTTCAGGCCAACATTTGACCAATGTCTGCAAAATCCAGTCAGATTATTTATTTTTTGGAAGCCGAAACAGAGCTGAAATATGGTTTGAGTTTTTGCATCAAATGTTTTCTTGAAAAAACCAGAGTTTTCTGCTGTAAAATGACCAGTGATGAAGTAAGAAAGTGAAATAAGGCAGCATATTTTTCAGGGATCTGTATGCTCTTACTGTGGCATCAATGACTCATTTATTACATTATTTTTATTTATTACTGATGGTTATGATCATTCCATCACCATAGCCAAAGAGATGTCACGAAGAAGGGTGCAGAACAGATTCTCAAAGGTCATTATAGCTTGATAAATTTGGGATACTTGACTGGGCCCTACAAATTTTATCTGAAGAATATTTGGTTACTTTGGAAGGTGACAGCTTGTTCCTTCACTGTCCTCAGGGAGCAGGTTGTGGATCCAGAAGCTGAGTGGTGGGGGTGCTCATAGCAAGAAATAATTAAAAAGCTGACAACAAATGTTAAACATTTTCTCATGAGAGTTATTGCCTGAACTAGCAGTAGTATAAACACAATTTTCAGAATATTTAAGTGAACTGAAAGAACAACAAACAATAACAGCAAAAATAAAATGTCAATAATTTTTATGTATTTTAGAAAGAATTGCTGGAAGCTTAGTCGTGTTTACTAAGGAAACAAAAAAAGAAAGATATCAATTTTTGAATGGTGGAAAAGTCCTAATCCGATAAAAAATACTTTGTTCATAAGGCATATATGGATTTATAAATTCTCATACAAATATATAAATTTATCTGCTATATATTTAAATATATGTAGTTATTTGGAAAATTAGTTCATGAATAAAGCTCACAGACAGTAACAACTGGAACAAAAAAAAGTAAAAAAATAAGCAAAACATGATCCTAGATTAAAAATGGATAAAATATAACCATATCTATTTCTAAGAGATTTTATCACTAACTGTATATTATACTTTAAAAATTAAGTAGCTCTCATTTTGTGCATCATGTACATACTTTTTCACTTTATGTTTCATGTGACTTTTATCATATCATTTTTGTTGATTATGTTATTTCATTTTAAAGATTCTGTGACTACTTTTAAAGCTAGAAACTTCTATTGAATATTTAAATATTTTCTACCATTTAAAAAATAATAAGTGCTTCTTTGGTAAATAAGCTTGTAGATGAAGCTTTAAATGACTACACAATTCCTCATTGGCAATAGGATATAGACAGACTTTCAGAGTCCAGCCCATTTCCCTCAGTCTCTCAGCATTAGCCACATTGGACAGATGTCCAGTCTGTTCATCAAGTGCTTCAGCTTTCTTCCATCTGGATGCTTTGTAGGAATGCAGCTCCTTGTCCCCCCGCCATTTTTGAGGTCATCAGACCACTTTTGGCCTTTATCAGACTGTATTCCAGAGTGAGAAGAACAAAGCAAAACCGTCTAAAGCAAAATCAGCTCAAAATGGCTATGAAATAAGGAGAAATAATTTTTGAAACCATTAACTTGTTATTTATTTGTTACTGAAGCATAGCACAGCCTACATTGATTGTTACACTGTCTTTTACATTCTGAACACCTTTTTCTTCCTTGCCTTTTTTGTACCTGCCATTACTTTTGGCTGCCTCTTTCATTCTATTTATTCACTTCTTTATGGCTCAGTGCAACCTAGGAAATTGTTACAGTTTGTGTCTAGATGTTACCCCAAAGCCTCATAGGCTATTTTGGAGGTGTCTGAATCTAGAGTGTGTGATTGATTCATGGTGAGGCTAGGCCCAAGGGTAGTGGGATTAAGGGTGTGAGTGCTACCCTCCCTAAGTAGTCTGAGTAAGATAAAAGGGGCAGAAAGATGCTGTTAGGTTCTCTCATTGGTTTTGATACCTTGGGGTGCCATGAACTGTTTATCCTCTGCGATGCTCCTTTGCAATGCCCCTCTCCCATGTGCCACTCTACCTTGGAGCCAGATGATTATGGACTGAAACCTCTATGAACTGTGAGCTAAATAAACCCTTCCCTCTTTACCTTTGGGTGTTGGGTATTGTCTCAGCAATGAGAGAAAAGTAACGAACACAGAAATTTTGCTAGAAATCTGTGATTTCTCAGTTTTCTCCTATTATAGAACTTGATATAATTGCAAGTTTAAGTCACTTACTTTATTAGTATGCTTGCATTTTGTAAATTCAAAAGTACTGTATACCTTGCAGATGAGATGCAGGTATTTTACAAAGTTCTCAGTACATAATAGACACTCAATAATTATTTCTTTAGTGATGGATAGATGCTGAGTCATGTTTTGTTATTTTCTAACCAAACTGATCTCTGGTAAGGCTTCATACCACAAAACATGAAAGTGACCATTCTTCTGGCTTTTATCAATGGCCTGCCGTTTTAGAAGCAAAAGATCTCATTGATCATTGTTTTAATTTTAATTTCTTTTGAATGGGTTAAAATTTTTATTGATTTATTGACCATTTATATTTCTAGCGGCCTATTCATATTCCATGCTTGTTTTGAGTTGATTTATTATATATAATTGAAAGTTGCTGAATAATGTAAATAGTGGGTAAATTCAACTTTCTTTTGCCCTGGAGAAATTGAATGAATGTCTCTTTTCTCTGTATCTCTGTGTTTCTCCAGAATATTATCAGAGTTCCTATATCACTAAACTTGAGATTATTGAAGCTGTTTAGCAAGGATAAGGTATTATTTTTGACTCCAACTTCACTAATTTTCTTTTCGTATAGTGTCTTCGAGAATTTCCAAGGAGGTTCAGGTGACCAACAGGAAAATATTTCTACATTGTATGGCTCATTGTTATGAAAACATCATTAAATCACCAGTTCCTTAGAACCCTGATGCAGTATCTTGTCCAGCTGTAGGTTAACTCAACTAGCTACACTCAGTCCATTAAACACAAACCAAAGCATGGGAACAATAACTGGATCTTTGCTTTGACAGTTATGACCTGACATTCCAAGAACTAATTTTAACTTCTTTTCTCTGGATCAAAGCAATTCAATGGGAGCAAACTCATGTGAAATAAAGCAAATATATTCTCATTTTGTGGTGCCCACTCCTTG